CTGGCTGCCTCTGCAATTCTGAAGTCCCGGATGCTAGGGTCAGCCCATCTCAGCCTCTCAGCCACAGGAGGAGACCATTGAAACTGAGTCTCTGGAGGCGCTTATGCCTTGGCACATCTGGAAGCTGTTAGCCTTCTCTGCCTGCCTCCTGGAGCCAGCTGTTTGCGGTGGCTAATTCTGGGAAGTGCCCCTCTGTCAGCAGCTGCCTGTGGGGACAGGATTGGGGGTTCCTCACCACCAAACCAGTGAAACGGGAGGGAGCTGGGCAGGCGGCAGAGGGTTAATTGAATAACCACAGCCGTCACCCAGAAGAGCTGTTCTCCTCCCCCAGCCCTGCAGATAGCCATGGGGTTACTATGGGTTGAGTAATGAGAAGGAAAGAGAGGGGGAGGAGGCAGGGAGGACCAAGAAGCAGAGATGGAGAGAATGTTTCTGCTGTAAAAGATCTTCAAAAGGTCATCTGATATTGTCCATCCTCCTGTTGCCTGGGGGTCACAGTGACCGTGCAGTATAGTGGAAAGAGGGCATCCTTTGTAGTTGAGCTGAGCTAGGTCATGATCCTGACTCCATCACTGTTGGTCTCAGTGACCTTGAGAAAGGTCCTCAGCCTCTCCAGGCCTAAGAGTCTCATCTGGTGATGGGAGAGCTCTACCTCCCTGGCAAGACTTCTGGGAGATGTGGTCTGGTCCATGCTCCAGAACACGGACTTCTTCCTTCTAAGAGCAGCAGGAAGCTAGGAGAAACATCTTCCCCTATCTCCAGCCCCTGCCCCGCCTTCCAGAATCACTCTAGCTTCTGCCTGCATCATACAGGCCTCACTGCAGACCTGCTCTCAAAGGCACACCCTCCCTAGAGCCTGAGTGGCCCACCTCTCTGCCCAGCTTTGCCCGCCTCGTGTTCTAAGCTTGTTGAACGCCATCCTACCTCCCCACAGGAATTGGCAGCTCCTGTCAGCTTCCATAGCCCCAAATCTCCCTTTGCCCACAGCCTCCTTCCCTATGGCCTCAGGGAGGTGATTGGATACCTCTGAAGTCAATCATCCTGGGGTTTAACCATCATCACGGCTAAAGATGCCTCCTTATATGCTATCACATGTAAGTTTCATCATGAGTCTGAAGATAAAGCTTAACTAATATTTTTATAGATATGGAGCAAAGGACAGATGTTAACATTCATTAGACTTGCTGCATACTAAGCCATCAGAGAAAAGCCGAGGAACTCCTGAACTCTCTCCCAAGAAGATGCAACATTAACAATAAAGGACTGGTTAATATCTCCTACAGGTAATACTCAAAGGGGCTGTGTCCCCAGACAGCTGCCCTCTCCTCATCCTGGCTGGAACACTCAGAGAACCACTGCTAAGCCCTAACTGGAACTGTTCTTCACCTACAACTGGGTGGCACCTACACCCACTTTCACAAGTTCCTGGCTGGGCTTGGTGGCGCATGACTGTAATCCCAGCGGCTCAGGAGGCTGAGGCAGGAGGATAGCGAGTTCAAAGCCAGCCTAAGCAACTGAGCAAGACCCTGTCTCTAAATAAAATACAAAATATAGCTGGGGATATGGCTCAGTGGTTGAGTGCTCCTGAGTTCAATCCCCAGTACTCCCACCCCCGCAAAAAAAAGTTCCTCCCCTTCCTGTTGTCCCACAAGCTCCAGTCCCCTTGAACAGTGAAATCACATCTTCAGGTCCTCCCCCACGCCCTCCTCCCTGATCCACACAGCCTTAACACCTTTGATGTTAATGCTTTTGTTTTTGTTTTTGTTTTGTTTTGTTTTTGCAATACTGGGGATGTAACCCCTGGGCTACATCCCCAGTCCTTTGTATTTTTTTTTATTTTGAGACAGGGTCTCACTAAGTTGTCCAGGCTGGCCTTGAATTTACAATCCTCCTGCCTCAGCCTTCTGAGCTGTTGGGATTACAGGCCTGTACCACTGCACACAGCAGTTGTTATTTTTAACCACCATTTATCAAGCACTTAGCTTTGTGCCAGGCACTTTAATAAATACTTTTTGACTAGTATCTCATTCAACTGCCCCCACACACTCAGCAACCCCCAAAATGAGTATCATTATATCAGTCTTACAAATGAGGAAACCAAGCTTCAGAAAGAGACCCTTCCTTCATATGCTACACAATCCCAGTCTGTGGGAACAGCAACTCTGGCCCTACAATGGGCCCAGAAGCCCCGCACATTATCAAGTAGACTCCCAAGTTCAGCTGGATCAAAGGATCCCAGACCTGAATGGTCGGTCACCTCAGTGTCAGCTCCACCTGCATGCCTACCAGATGCCTCAACCTCAAAATGTCCAAAAACACCTCTGAGCTTTTCCTCAAAAAAGCATTTCCCCAGAGCTTCCCGCATAGCAGCTCAGAGTGGCTCCATCCTTCTAATAGCAGAGGCTCCAATCAGCAGGAAATCTTATTGGCGCCACCCTCAGAACCCACCACCCCCAACCACCTCCCCTGCTTGACCACAAGACAACCTCCCCCAGCTCCAGGGAGGGTATTTGTGGGGGGAGGGCCTTAGGACTAATGTGATTGAGCAGACAGCCTATGGGAGGCCCCTGTTGAGAGACCAGTTTTATCTCACCTTAAGAAGTTTCATGTTAGGAAAAACGCCTTCACATCCCTGTCTCCTGGGACCCTCACCATTAGCCTTAGACATATCTCTCACTCCCTCTCCTTTTTCTTCCCTACCTTCCATGCGTCCTCCCTCCTTCCTTCTTTCCTTTGCTTTTGTGCAAAATACATACTGAGCATTGGCTCCATTTGTAACACAGGAAGGTGGGGGTTACAGGGGCACTAGTGTGGTTCCAGGGCCCCAGGGAACTGAAAACTGTACTTGTGGTTTCTATAACAAGACCAAGATGTTGGGTAAGGAACAAAACCAGCCCTGGGCCTCACTAGCAGGTACGCTCAAGGATGCAGGGAACTCACTGGAAAAGCAGATCTGAGCCTAGGCTGGGGATTTTCAGATAGTCCAAGGTAGGAAGGAGGAAGGCAAGATACTGGGACAGCGGACAGTTTGAGCACAGGCTTGGCGATAGCAGACCAAGTTAGGAGAGCATCCATCTGGTTGGAGCAGAAAGGTCACTTGAGGTGAGGTGGGGTCCAAGGAGCATCCTGAGTGGTGAGAGAAGAGGACCATCAGTCAGACCTCCCAGCGGGATTGGCCATAAGAATAACAGTGGCACAGCAAAAGCACGATGCTGCACCTACTCTGACCTGGCCACGCCTCTTGGGCAAGTCACTTTCCTGTGCCTTGGATTTCTCACCTCTAATAGAGAAAATAATCCCCACCTCACGGAGTGCTTGTGAGGATTAAATGGGATGATGTATATGAAAACTTCTGGCATCACACTTCATAGACGCTTTTTGAAAATGTTTATTGAATCTGAGCAAATGAAGGCGGTGGGTGTGAAGCGCTCATTCAAGAGGTTTCGTCATGGAAGAAGAAGCGGATTGCACAACAGCCGAGTCAGCGCGGGGTCAGGGGAGGCTGTTTCTGATCCCAGGGAGACCTGTGGGGGTTTGCGAGCCGAGGATATGGATGCTGCCAAACGAGGGCCGGGAGGAGAAGTCTCAAGAACCAGTAGTGGGGACAGTCACACAGCCCTGCGAATATCCTAGAACCATCAAATTGAACACTTTAAGTGGGTGGATTGTGTGGAATGTGAATTTTATCTCATAAAACTGTCCAAAAAAAATGTCTGGAGAGACCCACTAGCTCTTAAGGTACCCCCAGATCACCCTGCACTACCAGATGTTCCACACATGGACCCGAAGGCCCTATGCTGCCCGCACCACCACCCAGAACCATTCACAGCTTTTCTGTTCACCCCAGTGAAACCACATCCCCGCCACCACCTCCTTCCCTTCCCCATCCCTCAGGCAAACTGAAGCAGTGTTCCAGAAAGAGGGCGGGAAGGGGACCTGATTCTAGCCCTGGCTCTGCCTCCAATGTGCTGAGGGCTTTCCCCTCTGGGCTCAGCCTCCTCCTGTGTGCACAGGCAGAATGGGAGGAGGTGAAGGGCCTGGGCCCCAACAGGTTCCTGGGTGACTGCCAGGCCCTCTCTCACCAGCTGAGAAAACTCTGCACGTTATACATCCTCTTTGTGTCTCATCTAAAATAGGGAAACTCAGGCTGGGTATGTAGGTGAGTGGTAGAATGTTCACCTAGCATGTATGAGGCCTTAGATTCCATCTCCAGCATGGCGAATAAATAAATAAGTAGGAATCTCAGAGGATTGCACAAAGATTAAATGGGTTACTAGATACAAAGCACTCAGAGGAAGAGCCCAATTAATATTAACTCCTTATACCATTATGACTGTGTGGAGGAGTAGTCAGTCAATGGTCTTCGAGGTGATTTCTGTGATTTCCTCACAGAAGAATCATTTCCCCAGGATGAACAGTGTCATATCCCTAGAAAGCAAGAGTGCAGCAGCTTCTAGACTAAGTAGTTTTCTTAGGTTTGTTCCATGCCTGCTCCAGTGGGGATTGTGAAGTTTTGTTTTGTTTTGGGTTTTTTGTTTTTTTTGGTATCAGGGATTGAATCCAAGGGCTCTTAACCACTGAGCCACATTCCCCAGCCCTTTTTATTTTTATTTTTTATTTTGAGACAGGGTCTTATTAAGTTGCATAGGGTCTCCCTAAATTGCTGAGGCTGGCTTTGAACTTGTGACCGTCCTGTCTCTGCCTCCAGAACCGCTGGGATTTCAGGCGTGCACCCTTGCACTCCGCTGACTGTGAACCTCTTGAGAGCAGAGGACCCCTAGCACACGTTTACCAGATGGAGTCCTTTTAGGGAGGCAAGTGTGTGAAGGCGGAGAGACAAGCTAAAGGGTGGAACCTGAGCCAGATCAGGAGCACAGCAGGAAAGTATCAAAAGCTCACACTTACCAAGTATCTGACCCCTCACCAGGCACTCCCCCCACTAAATGCCTTTCATGCATTAGCTCATTTGTTCTTCACAAAAACCCAAGTGAGTTTTTATTATTCCTGTTGTACAGATGAGGAAACTAAGGCACAGAGTGATTAAGGAGTCCCCAACATCACATAGCTAACAAGCAACGGAGCTGGGATTTGTACCCAGTATGAATCCAGAGAACATGCCCCCAGCTACTTACATTGCCTCATAGGTCTACAAAATACAGCATATGTCACCCAGTGGCCTGGCCACTGCACAAATGAGATGGAAGAGTCCTGCCCAGCCAGAGACTAAGGTTGAGAAGTAGGAAAAAGGGCTCAAGAAGTCCCCTCTACAGAAATTTTTTTGAGGAAAGGGCAGGCCATTCCCAGCCCAGGCCTGCTTGCAGGTCGGGGTCTGGACAAGATCACCTTCCAGGACCTCCACCAATTTTTGAGTCTCTCTTCTGAGCTGAGAGCCCTGAGGGCAGGCATCTAATTCTGAGGTCCTTCAGTGGGTCCAGCTTGGAGCAGCGACTGAGGCCAGAGGTTAAAAGCAGGAAGCACCAGAGATCCTGTAGAAAGACAAACGTTATTCTGACCCAAGTCCCTGCCCAACAGTCAAAGGCTCCAAAGAGGCTCGATGGGTGGCAAGCAGGGAATAAGAGTGGGTTTTCCAGCTCCAAGACCTCCAACCCCAGCCCAGAGTGACCTGTCCCCTCCCCACTGCCCTTACTTTCAAGTGTGTATGCATAGACATCCTGGCCCCAAGAAGATGGGTCCAACGTCCTCTCAGGGTGCAACAACCCTCAGCTTTGATTTATACCCGTGAATACTCTCTCCAGGAAATTCATTCATTCATTCACTCTTCTTTCCATGAGTTTTCACTGAGTTCTGCTAAGCTCCAGGCCCCACATGATACAAGCCCCCCAAAAATTACCCACCTAGTGGAGAAAATAGCACCTGGACTTATAAGACCAACAAAGATCCTGACCAGTGAGCTGGGTAGAAAGAGGATATGTGGGCCCTATGGACATCTTCAAGGAGGGAACGTCTGAGCTAAGCCTTGAGGGCAAGAGGAACTTTCCAGACAGTAGCCAGTCGGGAAACTGAAGGTCATATGGTAGTGACTTGCATGTACAACCGAAAAGCAACAGCCACAGGCAAGGCCAAGAGAGAAGAAGAGCGAAGGTCAGGAGCCACGCTACAGAGGCCCTTGCAGGATCCTGGGCTGCACTGGCAGAGGCAAGATGAACCTTGAGGATCAGTAAGCAAGGGAGCAGCACTGTCTTCTTTCTGGTTTAGACAGACTAGGCTGGTAGGGAGAAGGATCAAAGGGGAAGCTGGGCCTTGTTAGTCAATTTTGCAGTCCGCAGGCCTCTCCAGCCCTTCGCAATGTGCTGGCTGCCTGGGACCTGGCCTCCTCATACCCACCATCTACATGTGTTTGAACCACATTCCATGCACAGGCATGCTAGGGGAGTGAAAAGAAGAGGACCCGAGTGGCTGGGCCTGTATCCTGCCCTAAGCCCCAAGGGTGTGTGTGATGTTTGCTCTGGCCAGCCCTTACTTCTCTCAGCTGGGACCCCAGCAGGGGCTCAGAGAAGAGCAAGAGAGAGCCAAGACTTACTGAGCACCTAATATATCCATGAACCTTCCAAGGCTTAACATATGAAATCCTATTGCTGGTGGGACTGCAGCCACTGTGGAAAGCAGTATGGAGATTCCTCAGAAAATTTGGAATGAAATCATCATTTGACCCGGTTATTCCATTCCTCGGTATCTAACCAAAGGACTTAAAATCAGCATACTATAGTGACACAGCCACATCAAGGTTTATAGCAGCTCAATTCACAATATAAGCTACGGAACCAACCTAAGTACCCTTCAACATATGAATGGATAAAGAAAATGTGGTATAGCTACACAATGGAATATTACTCAGCCATAAAGAAGAATGAAATTATGGCATTTGCTAGTAAATGGATGGGACTGGAGACTATCATGCTAAGTGAAAAAGCCAATTCCAAAAAACCAAAGGCTGAATCTTTTCTCTGATATGCAGATGCTAACATACAATAAGAGGGGTGGGAGGGAAGGAAAGAAGTTCATTGGATTATACAAAGGGAAATGAAGGGAAGGGAGGGAGATGGGACTAGGAAAGACAGTAGAATGAATTGGACAGAACTTTCCTATGTTCATATATGAACACACAACCAGTGTAAACTTCACATCATGTACAACCACAAGAATGGGAAGTTATGCTCCATATATATATAATATGCCAAAACACATTTTTCTGTTATGTATAAATAAAAATAAAAATATTCTATGAAGGAGATTCTATTGCCAAACCCATTTTACAGAAGGAAAAAGTAAAGCAGACAAAGGCCCCATAGTATATACCATGGGGACCGAAAACCAGGTCCACTAGTTCCTTTTGTTTAATCAATAAATCTGCTTATCAAAACCAGAGGATGGGTTCTAGGACCCTTGAAGAAACCAAACTCCTTGGATGCCGAAGTCCTTTATGTTAAACACATAGTATTTACATATAACCCATGCTCATTTTCCTGCATACATAAATCATCTCTAGGTTATTTACAATATAAATGGTATGGAAATAAATCCTACAATGTAAATGGTATGGAAATATTGTTATACTGTTTAGGGCATAATGACAAGAAATAAAAAGTCCATGTTCAGTACAGACGCTATTTCTATTTATTTATTAGTCTGTTCACTCCTCGTTGAATGTGCTGACGCAGAACCCAAAGACTCAGCAGAACCCAGGAATGCGGAGGGCCCACTATGCTTCCTAAGCCATTGCTCTGTGCCAGGCGTGTTCTAGGCTCTTTGAAGACTAAACAGTGAATCTCCAAACAGTTCATGCTGTAACCAGCCTGTGCCACACCTCCTTGGGGTAGGATGAAGGTCAGGAACAAGGATCGTTCCTCATGCGTGGAGTTGAAGCTCAAGTGTCCCAGGGCATGATCAGCCCAGTCACCAAAGAGAAAGAACAGCCACTCTGCTGAGGAGCAGGTGGGCTCTAGAGTTCATGACCCCCTCTCTGAGAGCTGGGCTACTGAACGGAGGACACAAGGCTTGAATCCTCAGCATACCCACTCAGTGCCCTCCCTGGTCTCTTTGGGCTGTGCCGAAACTCTTAAAGGTCACGTCCCTTGGTGTCCTGGAGTCAGGAGGGGATAGACACAAGCTGCCCGGAGGACCTTATGCAGGACATGGGAGACATGTTGTCCCACCCCCAGCCTGCTCCTAGCCCAGCAACTCAGGGGCCTACCTCTGGCCTGGGGAACAGAGTAAGTGGGTAAGAGAAAATGGTAGGAATCTGGGGCAATGGGGCCACTCCCCTACCTGGGTGGCGGGTGGCTACCTCTGCAACAGTGACTCAGCTGCAGGTCGATAAAGTTGGGGTTAGACTGAGCAGTTTGGTGTTACAATCCTGTACTCAGCTGCCCCAGGCGGAAAGACTCACAGCCAGGTCAGCCTCAAGGTGTGGAGCTGGATGTGTGTGTGCGCTGGAGGATGGCAGGATCTTTGGGGACTTTCTTGAATTCACAAGCCCAAGGCAAGAAAGAATGTCTGGGATCACATTCCTTAGTGGGGTCTACGGAGACCCTGGCCAGACCCTCCTATCTCCCATTCCTCAAGATCCTCCCTAGAAGACTCTTTCTCCAGGAAGCATACCAGTACTAATGGAGTCAACGCATCTTCTCCCCACTGATCAGTGTGCACTGACTGACTCAGGACCTCGCCAGCATTTTCCTCAGACTTATACCCAAGTCAGGGGAGTACTACTTTCCACCCCAACTTCAGGCTCATGCCTCTTGAAATGGTGTTCAAATTTCACATCTGATCTTTTAGCTTCAAATATGTGTATTCTACTCCAGGATATAGCCATATATATTTATTTTTTGGGGGGGAGGGTATGCCAGAGATTGAACTCAGGGGCACACAACCACTGAGCCACATTCACAACCCTATTTTGTATTCTATTTAGCGACAGGGTCTCACTGAGTTGCTTAGTGCCTCACTATTGCTGAGGCTGGCTTTGAACTTGTGATCCTCCTGCCTCAGCCTCCCAAGCTGCTGGGATTGCAGGTGTGTGCCAGCATGCCTGCCTTATTTTATTTTATTTTTTTTGTATGTGGTACTGGAGATTGAACTCAGGGGCACTCTACCACTGAGCTACATCTCCAGTCTTTTTCTTTTTTTCTTTTCTTTGGGGGGGTATGGGAGTGAGGGGGTACCATACCCAGCAGCCTTCCTATTTTTTTATCTTGAGACAGGGTCTCACTAAATTGCTGAGGCTGGGCTCCAACCTGTGATCCTCCTGCCTCACCTCCTGAGTTGCTGGGATTACAGGTATGTGCCACTGAGCTGATTATTATTGTATTTTTTAAATAATAATTCTGCCATGCATGACAGCACATGCTTGTAATCCCAATGACTCAGGAGGCTGAGGCATGAGGGTCACAAATTCAAGGCCAGGCAGGGAAACTTTTCAAGTTTTTAAAAAGGGACTGAGGATGTAGCTCAGAGGCAGAACATTCCTGGGTTCAATTCCCAGCACGCGCACACACACACACACACACATCATTTTTACTTACAAAGTGAATCATAATTTTTCTCTTAAAATATTCTAGGGATACTGATGCCATAAGAATATGTCTCATGCTTAACTGTAACTTTAAACTACTCAACTTTAGTACATGTGTCATTGTAGACCTCTATTGGAGGGCAAATGAGGCAACAAACTTCACTGGATCCAAGAGCTGTCTTTCTGGTCCTGAAACCCTGACCCCTGCGGTCCTCAGGGCAGCTAGGTAGATGGGCAGCTAGAGGCCTCTCTGTAGTCCTCTCTGCTGACAGGGCATGGCTCAAACTTCACATTCTACTGATGCTACCATGTGACTTGTTTGGAAGCAGTTACCCAGAACGGCAGTGCTTAAATTTAGCTAGAAATTATAATCACTTAGGGATCTTCTGAAAATCTTGACACTCAGCCCACAACTTACACCAATTAAATCAGTGTCTCTTGAGGATGAAATTCACTCAATGGTACTTTTTAATTCTCCCCAGACAATTCCAATGTGCAGCTGAATTTGAGAACTAGCGATTTGGGCCAAACCCTTTATAATGATAGAGATGCTCAGGCCCAGAAAGAAGTGCCTTGCTCAAGGTCATGCAGCAAGGTAATGGCCGGACCCAGAAACTCCACTAACCAAGGCAGACCTCCTGCCCACATCCATCCTCCACACCCCTGTGGGCACTTGTCTGGCAGCCTGCTAATCCCATAAGGATCCTAGAGTTCTTTGTTCAAGACTGGCTGGGAGGAAGATCCCCAGGATAGGCTCCCAGAGCCATTCATCCCAAAGTGCCCCCATTCAAGATGTTCTCTGGAGACAGAATGTCTTAGAGCATTTCCAACCTGGATATTCTCCTTGCCTCAATGCCACCCTGGCTTTAACAGGATTTCATGGAGACTGGGACAGCTGTGGTTTGGGGCAGGGCACCACAAGGAGATATACTATAGCTACAGGCAAAAGCTGGG